TGGATCCAAATTCCTGCTTTCCAGGTACCCTGGCTGCCTTCCTCCTTCGCTGACCAGCCAGGGTATGCTTTGGCCCTGAGGGGCTCCCAGATGAGTCCTGGGCTGATGCCTTCTTACCGGTGTCCCATTCACGTGTCTTGACACAGGGGCATGGCAGGGGCAGAGGGGACTGTGTGTGATGGCTTTCAGGTCCAGGGGCACATCCCAGATGGGGAAGGGGTGATGAGGTGCGCAGGGATGTGCATGGCACCATACAGTTGCCCATTGTCCTACACAGAGGGACTGTCAGCATCTGCTCTGACGCCAGCCACACGGCTTGGATCTGTACAGCCAAAATGGGAAGGTAGGTCCTGGCCTTTGTTGTACCCCAGTCCATTTCCCTCCCCACTTTATTTGGCAGCTGATGGCCCCCCACCACACCAGCCCTGGGGCTTGATATCAGCTGCTTAGGGGCCAGCTGGGTGCAGGCTGCTGTGGAGAGGGGAACAGCAGGACATGGGAACCCAGGGCTGGGGTCACTGACCCCGGTGTCGTGTCCCGGTCCCACAGCAAAGCCAGGGCAATAGGTTCAGGGATGTGTGGAGGGAGGCACCCAGGATTTGTGGTGTTAATGCATTGCTCCCACATGGCCAAGCACTGAGGCAGGAGAGGACCTGGACACCCTGCCCGAGTGCTGTGTGGGTTGCCAGGATGAGTCACAGCAAAGCTGATGCGGGGAGCAAGATGCTCGCTGTGCCCAGCACCACACCGTGCCCCTCCTCATCCCTGGGCTGCCTCTACACCCCTTACACCACACAGGCACACTGTGTCCCTGCATGAAGACATGCTGTGGGGAGAAAAGCGGGAGCGAATGTGCTGGGAACAGGAGGCAGCATCTGGTGCGGTGTCAGGGCCGCCGAGCCAGCAATGTGGGGGTGGCAGGAGCTGGGGGCATGGCATGCCAGTGGGAAGCTGTGCACAGCCCCCTGCGTGGGCTCCCGTGGGTGGCCCAGGCTGTGCACGTCCTCCTGGGCGAGGAGCACACCATCTCCATAATGGAGTGCCCTGTCGAGGCAGCTTGTCCTGCTGTTTCTGGTACTCTGCTAGGGGAGGTGCTGGGGAGGGAACAGAATTTCCCCTTTCAGGTCCCGTACAGCTCCCTCCGGGCTGCCTGGTGGACTCAAGCAGCATGTGGTTGGTCCCAGCAGGTGTGGGTGGGCATCTGTCCCTACCCCTGCCACTGCAGTAAGTGTCAGGCTGCATTTCCATCTCTTGAGCATCCTTCCCAGCCCTGTAGCAGTGCCGGGTACGGACAGACCCGGTGGCTGTTTAGGGCTACAGTGGCTTTGTGCAGAGGAGGGGGTACCCAGGGGTCCTGCCAGGGGACATGGAGAGGAGGGGGCTCTGGCTCTCCTGTGCATCTCGTGGGAAAGAGGTGCTAGACCCGAGGGAGATGTTCCCTCTTCTCCAAGGGCCAGGGTCTCCCAGCTCCTGGGTGTTGCAGAGAATGGAGCCCAGCCCAGACTGCAGGAGCCCGGGTCGAGCTCTGGCTCCTGATGCGGGGTGTGTGGGCCAATACTGCCCCACTGCAAGCACAGATAACCGCGGAGGAGGAAGGTGCTCTGGGGCAGAGCTGAGTTTGGGGCAGGAGAAGGGGATCACACACCACCCTCCAAATCGAAGTGAGCCCCTGCATCCCTCCTTCCTGCGTGCTTCCATGGCCGTGGGGGACCGGCAGGTGGACATGAGGATGGAGGCATGGCCGGCGCCTCCCGATGATGGGAGCTCCACCGGTTCGTCCTGGTGACACGCTCTTATCCCAGGCACGGCGGTGCCGTGTGCGGGTCCGAACGTGTCACCGCCTGCTCCCGGCGCAGTGCAGGGCTGACACCCTGTGGCCACCTCTCTGCTGGGACACGCACACACAATCTATTTTTTACGGCCTCTCACCCTCCCCAGCCTCCTCGCCACCCAGACCTGGTCCCCCTAGAGACCCTGGTTCGGGGTCTGAGGGTCACTTCGGCGTGGTCCAACCTCCTCGTCTCAGCTTTGCATCCCAAATCTCCTTGGCTTCCCCTGTCCTCACCCTGCTCACATCTGGGGGATGTGGCTAAACGGGGACACTTGTCCCTGCTCTACATGGTCACTCCTGCTCTGGTCTAGGAGGGGAAGGACGGTTGGGACCACCAGGGTGGCACTGACTCCAAGGGCTGTGGCGGTTGTTGTCCCTAACACCCATTGCCCAGAGAACCCCCTTTTCTTGCCGGTGGTCCCGTGGCACTGATGTGATGCGGCTCTGACATATTGACCCAGCAATGGCCAGGTACCACGGCTCATGGGGACACTGTCTCAGCCCAGTGGGTCACCCCTGTCGCTCCCGTGTCAGCACAGCTCCCCACATATGTTCTGGAGAGTTGGCTGTCGATGGTGCAGGGCACATCGCTGTCACCTCCCCTCTGGGAGGCACCAGACCTGATGGCACCCGGCCAATCCCAGGGGAGCCTCGGGGACACGCAGAGGTGCCCTGGCTCGGGGGAGGGGTGCTATGCTGCACCCTGGGGTGCAAAGCCAAGCACCCATCTTCCCCACAAGCGGAGGTTTTTTTGGTTTGGGTGGCAACCCCGTGCAATGGCCGCACACCCCAGCAGAGGGTGCAACCTCCCTGCAGAACGGGGTTCTGCTGCACCCTGGAGACCCCAAGGGACGGCGGGGACAAGCCGAGCTGGGCAAGACGGGCAGCACGCGGTGCTCCAGTCCCCTTGCAGATGGGTGGACCTCCTGGTGAAGGGTGGCCGATGCTCTGAACGCTGCTGTTGCAAAACGTTACGCACAAGCCCCCTTGCCGCCAGGACCCCATGATGCTGCCCCTGGCCCCAGGCTGGGTGGTGCGGAGCTGGAGCCCTGGGGCTGGGGACCCCCACTGGGGAGTAGCCACGGGCATCGCAGTGCCCTCTGCGTGGCAGCTGGTGGTGGGTGATGGATCTGGGACAACAGAAGTGTGGGCTACACAGACACCATCACTACAGCATGAATTTACCCATTCTGGGATTTCCTTCCTTGTGGGGTCCTGTGAGGAGGGTGGGCTGGACAGCCACTTCCTGCCCCAGCCTTAAATCCCACATAAGCATCCTGATCCTTTGGTTTGGGATCTCTGGGACTTTCGGTATGGAGGTTTGCACCACTGTTCAAGGAAAGGTTTGCACCAACAGAGAGTCGGAAGTTTGCACGGGGATTCAGGGAGAGGTTTGCACAAGGATTTGGGGAGAGATTTGCACCAACATTGAGGTGGTGAAGATGTTTGCAGCAACATACGGGGCAAGGTTTGCACCAGCATGTGGGGAGAGGTTTGCACCAGCATTTGGGATGGCAGTTTGCAGGCCACAAAAGCTGTCTGGGGACGAGGTCTCTGAGGTCACCAGTCTCAAAGGAGCAGGTGACAGCTATGAGATGCCATGGCACCACCTTGCCCATTCCCCACCCTGTCCTCATGCTTCTGCCCAGACCTTGAGGCTGCTCATGAGGAGACACAGCTGGCTGGGGCACGCTCTGCCCCACGGTGGCTGCTTGTCAGAGACCTGCAGCTGCAGCAGAGCATGTGTGCCGGGCAGCTGGTGCCATGGTGGTGACAGCACAACCCTGCAGGCTGTGGGCCAGCCTGGCCACCTGTGGCCCTCGTTAGCCAGCTCCCTGGGGACACCAGCCGGCTGCATGCCCTGGCAGGCATGCCAGGTTGCTTCAGGGTAGGCTGAGGCTGGGAAATCCACCCCTACCTTGCCCCCTGGGGAGGGGCAAGGTGCAGAGTGGGGCTGGATCAGGGACAATGTAGGTTCTTCCCTCCCACCTTAGATCCTGTGGGGTGCTCGGAGTGGGGGTTTGGGGTGCTGGCAGCAGGTGCTTCACTCCCAGGGTCCCTAGAACCTGTGCTCTACCCCAGCTTGCTGTTCCGCTCCAGCAGCAGGAGCAATAATGCAGCAATTAACACCATCTCCCCAGGTGAAGGCTTCTCTGGGACTTCCCTCTATGGGGAAAGCCCATGGCATCACCTACCCGTGGCATCCCCACTTCAGGCACACAAAACACTGCCAGATCCTCCTTCTTCTAGCTGTCCATCCTCTTCCTCAAGGTGATGGGTGCCTCTCCCAGGAGGTTTTACAGCTGATCTGCCTCTCAGGGCCTGAAAGACTCATTGGATTTTCTCTGGAGGTCAGCTGGGCACCACCCCTGTGGTCTGGATGCAATGGCAGGCCACTGCAGCTGTGGGAATGGGCTGAAATATCCAAGTTCAGCTTTTAGCAACAATGTCTGTGTCCCCACAGACCCTACAGATGCTGCCAGGGCAGCATTCCCCTCCTAATTCTCCCTGAGGTCCACTTCTTAAGCCCCGTTCCCCTCCCAGCTGCAGCACAGGCACTGTGCAAGGAAAGCCCCGCGCCCCGGGCAGGTGAGTCCTCTTTGCCAGCAGCCTGATTCCCACAGACCACATGCCACCAGCAACGGCTGCAGCTTTCCCTGGGAGTTCTGTGGATGTGGCTAGCATTGGAGGACCCTCCAACCATGGGGACCACTCTCCAAACACTTCCTCCCAGGAACCCTTGGAGTCTTCATGGGGTTATTTCGGGTTTCCCCACATCATTGCAAACAACATGTTCCTTGCCTCCAGCTGCCCCCAGTGCTCCGTTTGCAGCCTCCAGTGCCTCTAGAGGCAAGGAGCACTCTCATCCCAGTGCATGGGTGTCCCTCCTGCTGCAGGGCTGGGGCAGTTGTGGGGCCAACCAGGCACTCCCTCCACTGTCTGCTTTCCTGGGGAGATGTTGGGCACCTCGAATTTGAAGGGTTCTGGTTGGATCCCCTGACTTCCCCCCACTGCTTCTGTGTAACACTTTGGTGACACAGGGCCAAGCCTGCTTGATGGAACAGGGACCCGAGGCTGGGACAGGGTGTTAAACACAACAGGCAAATGTGGCATCCTCAGAAATCCCCGAGGAGAAGCCAGAAGTCCCGTAAGCGCACTGGCTGGAGGCTAGTTGGACACAGCTGTTTAATGGATGCTTCTCAGTACAGAGCGGGTGTTGCGATCCACGCACGCACGGCCGCCTCCTCCCCATGGCCATGGCTCTGGCCCAGTCTCGGACTTGGCATCCGAAATATCCCCATTGGCCTGGCATGCCAGGGTGGTAGAGGAAGATGTCATGGCACCAGGTGCCTTTCGGTCTTGCAGCGGGGAGAGTCCCAGCAGAGGGGACTTGTGCTCTGTCTGAGGAAGGGGGGCTGAGTGGGACGGTGCCCCCATCACATCACAGGGAGGGTGGAGGTGAGGGAGTGACCAGGCTGCTGCAGGTGTAGCCCTGGTCTGTGCATACCCCGGGGCACCCCGGCTGAGCCAGGGCACCCTGGGCAGGGAGAGGCTGAGGGCACCATGGGGAAGGGGTTGGGGAGGGCAGAGGGCAGCTGCTGGCACTGCCGTGGGACCTGGGCATTCTCACCCTTGGTGGGCATGGGGCAAGGTTTCCAGGGGTCCCTGCTCCTTCACCTGAGGGCTGAGCTCATCCATCCACCTTAGGGCTGCTGGGCAGCAACCTCACCCAGTGTAGTGCCTCTTCCCTGCAGCTGACACCCTGGGGATCGATCTCTGGGCTCTGCCTCCTCCCCCTCACTCTGAGCACTAACGCCCTCTGTGAGGTGGGGATGCCCCCTTGCCATGCTGGGGAGGGAGCGGGAATGAACGGGGCTGGTGTGGGACTGGAATGCTGAGCGGGGGGAGAGCATCCCATGGGACTAGGGGACAGGAAGGATTGCGAGGTGCAGGGGAGCACTCCTGTGCATCCAACCTTGCCCTCCTGCCCCCTCTGGTGCTTTCTGTTCCCGGTGCTCCTTGCCACACCACTGCTGGTTGATCCCCAGCAAGGCAGGGTTAAGCCGTGCTGGGAAACACTCTTCCAGGCATGACCATGAGCTGTGGGTGCAAGGATGGACCTGCTGGGCTCCAGCCCCTATTGGAGCCAGGCAGGGATGTGAACAAGGCCAAGCAGGGGTCAGCCACATCCTCCCCTGGAGGATTCACCAGGACGATGAGCTGAGCTGGAGCCTGCTGTAGACCCCCCGGGTGCTGCTGACAGCAGTGTGCAGAGGCTCAGCCGTGCTGCCCCATGGCGTTGCAGGAGGCTGGGGATGCACGGCTGCTCTGGGCTCCATTCTCACCCCGTAACCACCCAGACCTGGCTCCAGGACCAGAGCAAGGACCTCTTCTCCTTTGGGGACAGACCCTGCTCTGTCTGCAGGTCCCTGGGGACAGGTCCCTGGTGGCTCTGAGTGCTGGCAGGTGCTGGGGATCATGGGGGCAACAGGTTCCCTGCCCCCTGTGCCCCCGTCCCTGGGCACTGGACGCCTCCTTGCAGCAGGGTTTGTGGGGGACACCCCCTGTGCCCCACGGTGTCCCCAGGCACTGAACCCGCCCTACAGCGGGGTCTGTGGGGGCACCCCTGAGCCCCACGGTGTCCCCTCCCCACAGTGGGCCCCGCGGGGTGAGGAGCAGTGGGGCCATCCCTGCCCCTCCCCACTTCCCCCCCACCAATCAGAGGCACCAAAGCCACACCCTCTCCCTCAGCCAATCAGAGCCCGGCACCCAGCCTCTTCACAGCCAATCCGAAGCAGAGGCAGGGGGAGAGGGTAGCGTGGCTGCTTCCCTGTCAGCCAATCGGTGGCCGGCTCCGCCTACAGGGGAGGGCGGGGCAGGTCTCCGTGGCAGGAGAGGCCTCGCCACCCAAGATGGCGTCGCTGGGGGTTAGGCCGGGGGCTGCAGGTGGAGGGCGGCACTGTTGGGGCGGGCAGCCAGGATGTAGGCGACGTTCTCCCGCAGGAAGCCGGGCCAGTCGATGGGCCTGCGGGCAGATGAGGGATCACCAGCCGCCCCGACAACTCTGCTCCCCCAGCGTCTCCTCCAAAATGGGGGCGTTGTCCCCTGCCCGCCCCCAAGCCACCCCTGCCTCACCTGGCCTCCTCCTGCTCCGTGGCTGGCAGGGTCTTCTCCTGGCTCTTGCTGCTGACACTGCTGGCGGGGCTGCTCTCCGACATGGGCCCTACATGGCTGATGCTGAGGTGGGGGAGAAGGGTGCCTGTTGTCCTCCTCTCCTTGCCCCCAAAATGCCGGCAGTGGGAGGAAAAGGGTGCGTGGGGCTGGGGCAGGGCTGCGTGGCCACGGTGGGGAAGGTGACGGGAACAGGGTCGGAGGGGGCACCCATTTGTGCATCCAGCACCTTTGGTGGGTGCCAGGGCTGTGGTAGGACCCCAGCAGGGATGTCACCCCCACCTCAGGACGGGCGTCCCCAATACCTGACGTTGCAGGACGGTGTCTCCTTTTGGTGCTTGCGGAACCAGGTGTGCTGGGCTCGGCGGCACTCGCCCTCCCCAATGAAGCCATCACTGTCCTGGTCCAGGGCCAGGAAGGCCGCCCGTGCCCGCTCCCGCTCCTTGGCTGTCAGCAGACGCAGCAGGGCATTCTAGGGGGGCAGAGAGAGGAAGGGGGAGCACTGACTCCATGGGAAACCCCCCCTGCTCCTCCCGCCCTGGGTGCCGTGGCCATGGGTGCTGGCCGTGGGAGCCAGCCCTGGGTGCCACAGCCGTACCTGTGGCCGTAGTTTCTGCAGCAGCTGGATTGACTCATGGGAGAGGAAGTCGTGCCACTCAATGTGCCCCTTCTTGTCGGGGTCCAGGGCAGAAAACTGCAGGGCTGCCCGCTCCTCCTGTGCCTCAGCCATGGGCCGTTCGAACTGCTGCTTGTGCACCAAGTGCTTGTAGTGCAGGAAATCGTCCAGGGTGAGGCAGGTCTCTGTGGGGGACAGATTGGTTGTGTGTCACCTGGGGAGGCAGGACCCACCTCCCCAGCTGCCACCCCCAACTGTCCAGGACCAGACAGGGAGGGTCCTCACCTGGAATGATCTTGCAGTGCCTCAGGGTCTCCATCAGGCTGTACATCTCCTCCTCGGTCAGCAGGAGATTGAGGTTGTCCTGGGGTGGGGGGCAGAGAGGAACCATGGGGCAAAGGCATGGAGTGGGGGAAGCACTCAGCTGTGCCCCAGCACTGGGATCCCTTGAAGCCCCCCCCGGATGCTGGAGGGCTGGCTGCAGGGGTGGGAATGTGGCAAAGGTCCACTGTCCCCTCCCCTATGGTCATTCACCATCAGGTCAAGATGGGTGACAGGAGCTGGGGAGCAACAGGTTCCCCATTGTCCCAGACCAGGCTGCGACATGGGACCCTGCTTGTGTCCACGGAGGGCACGGCGCCCCAAGGAGCACCCACCACCCAGCAGAAGCCTGGTGTCCCCCACCCCAGGCACTCACGCAGTAGTAGCAGCTCCAGCCTGTCTTGGTGTGCGCCGTCTCCGTCACCTCCACGGAGCTGTCGTTCTGCAGGTAGCCCATGCGGCGCAGGCAGCCATCGTGGTACACCCGGCTGCAGATGCGGCAGGGGAAGAGGCTCTCGGCTGTCCACACCTCACAGATCTCGCACATCTCATCGTTGAGGATCTGAGGTGAGATGGGCAGCTGCTCACGGGGGCAGCGTGGGCAGGGGGCTGGCTTCTCAGGGTGGGGGTCAGGGTGGTGCTTCGCAGCTGGGGATGGATGTTGGGGGGGCAGAGGGGATGGGAGGGGTGGATTGCATGGGGGAATAAGTGGGTGGTGGTGTCATAGCAGGTATGAGTGGTGGGTTAGAGGAGGGTAGATGGGTTTGTGGGGATGAATGGAGGGTGGATGGGTCCAGCTGTAGCGTGGGGGTGGCTGTGGGGTTGCAGGTTCTCTGGGGTGCAGCATGGTAGGTGTGGATGGCCAGGCTGTGAGGTTGTGGGCTGTCTGGTCTGTAGGGCTGTAGTGTGGATGGGTGGAAGTGCTATTCTGTGGGTTGGCTGGTTTTAGGTGTGGATGGATAAGCTGGAAAGCTGTAGGTGGGCTGTGGTGTAGGCTTGTTGGGGTGGGAAGATGGATGGGTAGGGTCATGGGTGTGGATGAGTTGGCTTGTACATGGACAGGGCTGTAAGGGTTGCAGGTGTGGATGGATAGCTTGAGTTGTAAGCTGGCTGGCTGTAAACTGACAAACACATAGATAGAATTGTCCTTCTCTCTTCCCCAAAGCTGGAGCTGTCTGTGTCCAGCAGTGACCCTTTCTCTCCAAGAAAACCTGGGGTCCCTTCAGGGCACATCTGACCAGTCACACCCTCCTCCCTGTGTGGCATGTCCAGCTGCCCAGCCCATCCCCTGGCCCTCTACCCACTGAGCCACCTCTATGAGGCTTTGTTGTGCCCAGGGAGGCTGTCACTGCCTGGCAGGCACCAGGAGTACATCCCAGAACTCCCCAGCTCATCTCCAGCCCTGTCCCCATCCCTCCTTCCCAGCCTCCGTGCTCCATCTGCTCGCCTGCTCCCGCTGCTCCAGGCTGATGTCTGGGGGCTCATCATCATGCAGCTCTCGCTTGGGCCGGATGAAGGCGGGTGGTGTGAACCTGTTGGTTCGATCAAACTCCTCCGGCTCTACGCCCCGGCCATCCCGCAGCCGTTCCCAGGCCGCCTTGCTGGCGCTGCTCTCCTCCGGCTGGGAAGGTCCTGCCGACGCCTCCTCCTCTCCCTCCTGCACCGACTGTTCCAGCGTCCCTCGGCGTGTGCCCCCCGCCTCTGCCCGCCGCCGAGTTGACGGCTGCTCCCGCAGCCCGTCCTTAAAGGCTGACACTGCCAAGCTGACCTTCTGCACCTTCTCCACCGTCTGCCTCCTGGACATCAACACCCCCATGGCTCTGCAGGGGGAAGGAAGGTGCTCAGTGCTAAAAGCTCGGGGTGCAATGCTGCTCCCCACCCCTGCACCATATCCCTGGCCTGAAAAAGGTGTCCAGGTGGATTTCCCCCAGCCGTGTGGGGAGCAGGGCAGGGCAGGGAGAAATGGAGGCTCCTTGTCAAGCTGGCGCCGGGGTCATCCATGGTGGCCATGGGGAGATGGACCCTAAACCAGGTGGAGATCTGGCCATGGAGGATCTGAGTGTTGGTGGGGGAGTGGGACAGCAATCAGGGAGCTGGTCTGGGGTCACCCTGCCTCACCTATCTTTGCAGACTTTGACTTAATAAGAAACATCCAGGTTTTTCCCATGCCAGACCAGTAAAACCCAGAGGGATCAGGACCAGCTGTAACCCATTGCAGAGCATGCAGCATACTCTGTCTTGGAGAAAGCCTCTTTGGCCAGCCAAGGACAAGAGATATCCTTCCTGCAGCTCTGCCCAGGACTGGTGTGTTGCAGAGCTGGTGCTGGGTCTCTTACGTTCCCTAAATCTCAGTTTGCACCCCCAGTGTCTCTTGTGCTCACACACCCATGTGTATGTGTGCTTGCTGCTGCCCTGATCGCTGAGCATCCTGCATCCCACCCCAAAACGTGGGTCAGGGCTGGCTCACAGCACAGAGCCAGATGGACAGGCTGGGCCAGCCATGGGAGTGCTGCGAGGCTGCAGGAGGGAAGGGGAGCAGTACGTGGATCTGGGTGCGTGGGTCCCAAGGAGGGGATTTGGCTGCAGGACTGAGGGAAGATCATTGTGGGGTAAAACGGGGGTGGGACATGGCAGCAGCAATAGCAGGTCAGGCTCTGTTTCAATGGGGGTGGTCTTGGAGAAGGGTGAGCTGAAGCTGGTGAGAAGCAGGATTTGGTCTCCAATGGCATGGGGCACAGCATCACCCCGCGTGGTTTTCTGCCGTGCTGGGGTTGCGTTATGGAAGGTGCTGCAGCCAAGGGGCAGTCCCAGCTGGTGCCCAGGGACCAGGAGGAAGCACTTGCTGCCTGTGCAAGTTGGTGAAGGGGGATATCGGAGCAACCATCTCCTGCTCCGCCAGCCTCGGCAGGGGAGTCCCCAGGTAGCGGGATAATTAGCAGCACACGCTGGGACCTCACGGCTGTGGGAGGACGTGATGCTGTGGGCACTGCTGTGGCAGGGAGCCTGGGCAGGGTAGTTACGGCTGCCCCTCATTGGTGGTGCCAAGCAGAGCGTGCTGGCAAGCGGCACCCAAACACTGCCGTGCACGCACGCATGTGATTTCCCAGCCTCCCCCCACCACTGCAGGACCATCTGTGTGCAGTTTCCCACATGCGGAGCTGGGTGTGCAACACACACGTAGGCCCCGTCCCCTCTGTGGAGGTCCCACTGTGGGTATTTACACCCATTGACCCTGGGGCTGGTGTCTGGTGTGATGCAGCTCCCGAGGCGTTGCAAAGGTGGAAGCAGGAAAGAGCTGGAGGCACATGTCCAAACCACAGCAACAGCATCCCTGCGGCTGTGCCAGTGGGAGGGAAGACACCTTGGTGCCTCTGCCTCCTCCCCGTGCCCCTGCCCAGGCAGCTCAGGATCCCATCAGCCTTGGGCAGCATCAGCTCTGCTGCAGGGCAGTGTTGTTGCTCTGCCTGCAAACTAGCAAGCTTGGGGCACGGCAGGGAGATCCCCAGCTTTGTGTGTCCCTGCATTGACAAGCATGGGCCAGATCCTGGCCTCATCCTGCCCAAGGCTAGGGTAGAAGAAGGCAGGAGAGGGCACAGAGGGGCTGGGCTCCTGGAGAAGAGCCAAAAGAGGGGTGTGGGCCTCAGCTCTTGGCATACCAGTCCTCCCAGTAGCCGTGATGGTGCTCCTGATCCACACTGTGCTGGCAGCATCTCCCCGCAATGCTGCGGGGCTCCAGGTTGCCCACCCCCAGCACCCTGCAGCATGGCAGAGCAGCCCAGGAAACAGAGGGGTGTCTGGTGTATGGGCCTGCTGTAATCCCCCCAAAATGAGGTGTTCATGGTGTGGTCGCCACCCTGCTCTGCATTGCTGCTGGAGGATCCCAGCCCATCTCCCTGTTTCCTGTACTCTCCCAAGGCCACCCTGTGTGTGTCCTGCTACAGTTGGTGCCATCGGCATGCCTGGAGTCTGGAGGGTGTCACTCCTGTCACAGCTTGTGTCTGTTCTCAGCTCTGCTGGCCTCCTTGTCTCTCTTAGTGCTGCACAGTCAGACCCTGACTGCACATCCAGGGGCTAAATGGCTTCATCCTGAGCTCCATTTTCAGACCCTGTTGCCTTTCCACAGGTCCCAAAGCTCCCCAGATACCCCAAACCCGCTGTGCAGTCTCCAGTACACCCTTTCCCCCATGCCCTTCCTGGCCTATTGGCTGTGTGGGGTGGGACATCACCCCCACACAGACCCTGGCCCAGCTCAGGGTCCTGCCAGGCTTGAGGGGTCCCTACTCTCCTGGGGACCCCTGGATGTGGGTAGTGGGGACCAGAGGCTCCCTCACCCCACAGCAGCCCAGCTACCCAAGCAGCCCCTGTATCCCCACGTGTCCCTGGGAGAAGGTGTCTCCGCTGCTATTTGTGGCCACCCCCTGAGGCGCCTGGCAGTCGGGACCCAGTGCTACCGCTCAGCTTACCTTGTCCCGAGGCGACGGGACCTCGACCTTGCTGCTGGGCGCCAACGTGGGGCCTATTTTTAGGTCGCCCCCACAGAGGAGCTAAATCTGGGCACGGGCCGGAGCTGCCTGCAAATGCCTGGCTCCACCAAGCCCTGCTGGCACCGAGGGCTCACACAGAGGGCGGTGGGCTCCTTCCCACCCCCTTCCCTTCCCCGACACTCTGCACTTCTGCCTGGTCCCCGGGGCAGCACCCGTTCCCCATGCTGTTCTGATGGGGATTTGCTCCTTGCTACTTCATCCCTGCAGCAAAACGCTGAGGCAGAAAGCACTTCACCCCCCTAGCACCCTTGGACTCATCTTTCCCAGCCCCACGCAGAGAGCTGTGTGGGGAAACTGAGACAGAGGCAAGGCTGGTGCAGCTGGAGTGAGGATCAGCCTGTTTTAGGCAGGGATGGGGGCACTGGTGGACAGGGCTGGTGGCCAGTGTGGAGGCGCCCCAGGAGAAGGAAGCAGGGCAGAGCATCCTGAAGCAAACAGTCAATGGGTCCTGCATGGCTCCAAAATCTCCTCTCTCACATGGCAGTTGGAGCAGGGAGCACCCATGGCTCGTGCTGGGCTTATGGGGTGCTGGGTTTGTCTGTGAGGGCGGCGGTGGGTGCGGGGCTGTGGGTGACGCGTGGGTAGGTGTATCACAGCGCGGCGGGGGTGTTGTGGTGGCTGGGAGAGCAGGATGAATGTGGCGGGGAGCAGTGCGAGGTGGATGTGTTAGGGGTGGATGTGTTACAGGGCGGATGTGCTACGGCATGGCTAGCGGCACGGGGTGGGTGTTACGGCCCAGTGGGGTGTGTGCGGGCTGGTAGGGGGTGTTGCAGCAGCTGTGGGCACAGTGTGGGTGGTGGCTTTGGGTGCAGGGATGTTGCAGCAGCTGTGGAAGTTGGGGTGGTGGCTGTGGTGGCCGGGGGTGCAGGAGGGGTGTGTTTCAGGGGCCATTGGTGCAGGCTGGGCTGTTGCGGTGCCTGGCAGTGGCACAGGGAGCTGGGGGTGCGGAGCCATAGGACCCATAGGGTTGGCTGTTGCTCGCCTGCCCCGCAGTGCATACTTGGTGCAACGCCCTGCCAGCAAACCAAGGGCCAGCGGGTTCTTGAGCTGGTGCTTGAGCAGGGTCTGTGGCCCCCCCTTCACCCATCCTCAAGGGGATGCAGCAGGGGTGACCCAGGAGCAGGACCCCTCTGAGGCTCCCCACTGGTGGAGAAGCATGTGCCTGGTCCCCACGGGCTCCCCACAGGCCAAGCCTCCTCCCTGCCTTCACCAAGCTCTTGGTGTTTTTACCTCCTAGTGCTGTGCCTTCTTGGGAGCCGCATTAGGGAACTGGCGGCAGAAGGATGGGGTACCAATGGGGAGGACATCCTGGAACCCATGGCAGCCCAGTCCTAGGGCTTGGTCTGAAGGGCACTGAGCAGGGCTGGGAAGAGCTACCATGGCTCTGACATAGCCCTGCACACCCTGCCAGCCTCTGCCTGCCTGGGACGAGGTGGGGCCAGGCATCTCAGGCAGGAGGCTTTGCTTGGGGGATTCCACATCCCACTTTCTTGAGCTGGATGGGGATGTCCAGAGGGATCTGGCAGAAGCCCCTTGTCCCTTCTTGGCAGGAGACACATGCTAGGACTGTGACCCGGTTGCCATGGGGCAGGAAGGGTCTGTGGCTGATGGTACCCTCCCCACCCTCTGCAGGGATGCAGAGGCCCCGTGGGGAGGTCTGTGGGGGTGGCCAGAGCCCCAGCTGTGCTGTGTCCTCCTGGGGACACCGAGCCGGTGGCTGCTCTCCCTGCCCGATCAGGCTTCCCATCCTGCCATGCCATGGCAGATTTTATAGGTGTGTCTCACATTTCCATCTCCCAGAGAGGGGATGAAAATGCCGTGACAGCAGAGTCCCTTCCCCTGCAGCAGACACAGCTCTTGCCCAGCTCCCCAATTCTCCTTGCCTCCCTCCCCAGCCCCTCTTCTCAGCAACCCCACCAGGACCCCAATGCCTGGGCAGGATCCTCCCACCCCATCTGTACCCCAATCCCAGGCATCCCATCCCAGGAGCTCTGGTCACACTCCCTGGCACCAGGACCTCCCAGGGGCATCAGGGGGACCCACCCATGGGTGTTGCGATGTGTGGCCAGCCCATGTCATGCATTGGGCAAAGCGCCAATGGCGGCAAAAAAGCCACTTACCAGGGTCAGGATCCGTCTGGGGAGCTTGAGCTCTAGAGAGCAGTCCACACGATGTCCATCGCTGGTGCCTGTGGCCACGACACCCTCTCCACCCGGGATGCTCACCGCATCCCACGCCCTGCGTGCAAATCCCCGCTGGGGGATGGAGCGGTGAGGCTGGTACCCGGGGAGCCAGAGCCCTGCACTTGCTGCCGGAGGATGCAGGAGACAGCGAGATGCTGGGAGCGGATGCCTGTGTCTAGCGCGCACACACACACACACACACACGCGCGCGCGCGCGCGCACACACACACTGAGGAAGCAGGGAGCTTGTGACTGGGGCTGAGCAGATGCAGCCTGGTTTGCTGTCCCTGTACCAATTGCTGCCTGAGCTGTGTTAAACAGCTCTCCGAGGCATGAAGCATTTTTTTAACCGGGCTGACGTTGACTGGGAGATACCAATAAAAGCTTTCCCTGCATCTCCTCTGGCTCACGGAGCTGAACCGCCTTTCTTCGAGACAGCCTCAAGGACTATGGAGATGGGGCTGTATCCATGAAGGAATGAAAGTCTTTCTTGCCCAGCTGCTGGGGTCTTTCCTGGACACCATGCTCCAGCCACAGTCTACCTGCAACTGCTTTAACCCAATGCCTGCTTGTCAGTGTTGCAGGCAGTCTGTCCTCCCTGTGCCGCGGTGCAGTGGGGGCACAGTGACTCCTGGCTATGTGCAGCCCTGTGCACCCGGTGCAATGCAGAAACAGAAATTTTGGTTCACCTGGTCCTCAGGGCTGGATATCACCTGGGTGCACACCACAGACCTACATTGGGGCTGGGGACTTGAAGAGAGTGTGAGGGAGGTGATGGGGCAGGAGGGAGTGTGCTGGGCTGGAGAGGAGGGCACAACCCTAATGCAGCATTTCTGAAGGTGGAATATCTGTTCCATATGCATCCCCAGCTGCCCCACACTAGCTTGGTGGAGATGGTCTCTCAGCCCCCTGACACCCTCCTAGCATGGGATACTGCTGGCTGAGTGGGTTGTGCTTTCCTCCTCAAGGGCTACCAGCTGTGCCCGAGGATGATTTAGGGTGCAAGAGTCTCTGAGCCCTCCTAGGAGCAGCTTCCAGCCAGGCCTGGGATTAGTGATGAAGGTTAGAGTGGAGGGGCCTGGGCAGTGGGGGTGGCTGCAGGGCTGCCCTGTCTTGGGGAGAAGGGTGCTCTGCTCAGCCCCTCTGCACTATTCCTGTCCCCAGAATGCTGCTGGGGGGAAACCCCACATCCCACCCTGACATCCCAGCCATGCCAGCCCCTGTGCCCTCCATGGGCCAGGGCCTGGCTTGCTCCATGTGGACCCGCCAGCCCCACGGAGGAGTGGACATGTGTGCATGCATGCAGTGATGCCTGTGTCTGCACAGGCTCCGGAGGCCTTGGCAGAGCAGCGAGCAGCAGCAGAGATGTCACCTTTCCCATGCAGAGAACATGGGGATCATGGGGTGAGAACCATGGGATAAAGGACCGCTCAATGACTGAAGCTTGCTCGTTCCTGGGAGATGAGCAGCACTGAGGTCTTTTCCACTCTGAAAAAGCCTGTGCTGCATCCAGCATCTAACACCCCTGCAACATCATATTCAGGGCAGGTTTGCTCCAGCCTGTAGCACACACTGGTACCAGGCTGGTCTTTGACCCTCAATCCTGTCAGTAGGTTGTTGACTGCTGCTCCTCACCCTGTGCCAGCCCTTCCTAGACCTGTGGGTGCCAACACCGGTCCCGCGATACCAATACCTCCATTATACACCCTTCCCACTCCGGCATGTCTCATCCAGGAGTGAGCTGTGACTGCCTGCAGTTCATGTCACCTGCAAGCAGAGCTGGGGGCTGGGAAGGGTAGCATCTGGGTGTTACACAGGGACCTGAGCTGGTCCACGGCTCCCTCCCCCGCTGGGTGGAGATGTGCAAAGCCAGGCTGCAGATAGGATTTATCTGCTTTCTGCTTGTGGCTGTCAAGTCCTGTCTTGATTTGCTCCATCAGCTGTGCAGGCTTTACAGGAAGCCTCTGATTGCCCTGCCCTGTCCCAGGGTGCCTCTCCATGGTTCATCCTTCCCCGGGGATGCTTCCCTTTAGGGTGAATCACATTTTGCATTATTCAGCCTGGGAAGAACTGTGGAAAGGTGCTGGGATGCATGCGGGGTGGAGAAAGTGGAGACCAACTGTAAATGAGGCCAGAGAAAAACATCTCCGCAGACAAACCCTGGCCTCAGAGGACTGGGGAAAGGAGGAGGCGGTGGAGGAGTGTGCCGGCAGGCTGTGAAAATTTTAAGTGCCTTTGCGGGGAGAGCCTTGCCCTGGCAGTCATATGGCCGAGTGCAGTGGTTCCTGGAAAAGCAAAAGTGAGGAGGAGCCCCAGCCTTGCTCCTGCTCAAGCTGTTGAGGGTCTTGAGGGTCTTGCTGCTGTCTGCAGAGATGCTCTGCAGTTCCTTCTGTAGCATGGCCAGGCTGTACCTCCGTAGCGAGGCTCTGTGGGCAGGGCTGGCTGAGCCTGAGGGATAACAGCTCCTTGCCCAGGCTTTGGGTGCACCAGGGCCTAGCTGGTGGGTATGGTGTCCCACCAAAGGAGACCTGCAGCCCAGATACGCTTCTACAAGGGGCATTCGGCAGCCTCCGCCCTATGCAAGATGCAGGATGCTCTCACACCCTCTGGGGAGAAGGAAGACACGGTTCTCTGCCCTCTCTGAAAAGCCACAGCGTGGCTGGGCACCCATTGGAGCGGCCACGATGGCAACAGGCTGGGAAAGCTCTTGGCAGAGCCGGCAGCGCCGGGCTGCTGGAGGAGGGCTGCAGGGGCGGAGGTGAGAGCTGAGCTGCAGCGGGAATGTGCATTTTCGTCAGCTCCCCCCACCTCCCCCCTCCAAAATCTCGCATGACGCCCGCGTGTAGGTCACTGGCTGCTGCAGCGACGCGGCGTGTGGGCTCACCATCTGCGGCTGCTTCTGGAGCCCGCCTGGGAACGCTGCCTTGTGCCGCCCCATCTTGTCCTGGCTCCTGCCTGGCCCCCAGCCCTGAAGCCAACCAGCACCCTCGAGCTCTGCAGGGCTAAGGGTTTTCTCTTTGATGGAGGGGGGAGACCTGAACTTTTGGCTCCTGCCAAGAAGCAGGAGAGGAAGCGGCAGGGTGCCTGCGCGAGCCGGCCTTCCTGCCAGTCAGCGAGGGGTGATGGAAAAGAGAACTTGTCAAAATAGTGAGATATCGTTTTTCAGTAGATTACAAGTTTGGCTGATGGAGATAATAGTGTTGATGCACTGCGGGGAGGGTTCGAAGAGGCACTGGAACACCTCATGGCAGCTGGTTTGGAAGGGGAGGATGATGCCAAAATCAGCATGAAATGGGATAAAAACTGGCTGCCTGATGGGCTGCTGTGTAAGACTGCAGGCAGGGAATGGCAGAGCATCACCCATCACTGGGAATAAGCAGCGCAGGGCAAGCCCATGAGCGAGGGAGTCCATGCCTGGTTCCCTCCAGCTGTCTCAGCTCATGCCCCTCACCTGTGTGGGCTCCACGCAGGGGAAGGGGTTCAGGATCCTACCCATAGGCCTGATCCCAGCTGCAGACATGAACCTGCTCTCCACTGGCATCCAAGTGGGACATCTCCTGATGCTGGCTGCAGACAGGACCTCCCATGTTCACTGACAGCTGTCCATCATGCCGACCAATGGCTTTCCATCACTAACCCTGGACATTCACACACGCTTATCGGTGGCTGCCCGTCATGCCCCTCATCATCAACGCAGGTGCTGTGCATGATGCTGGTGGCTGTCCGTGATGCTCCAACATTGAGACCAGGTCATTGATAAGGCCTGTCACACCCCTGGCCATTGAGGCACACAGTGGTTATCCCACACCCCCACAGCTCAGCTGTCGGTCCTCACAGCCTCCAGCTCCCTGTAGCCTGAGCCTGATGGTGGAGGGGGGCTGCAGCTCTGTGACCCCCACCCCAAAGTGTTCAACCTTCTTCCCTTGGGGGGCCAGTTTCCTGGAGCAGCTCCTTACCCCGGGCTGCTCTGACACTTTCCCCCTTCCACTTCTGTCCCTACCAGTGGTCCCCCAAGGTGGGGGGATGGGGGGGGGGCTGCAGTGCTGATGCCATTGCAAACTGCTGATGCTCTGCAGCTCATGCTCCTCTCATTCACCCTGCTATGGTCTCAGGGACTGTGATGGGGACAGGGATGAGTACAGCAGGTCCTGGCTTTCCCCCTGCCCTCAGTGGCCAGGGTGCCCTGAGCAGAAGCTGGCAGATGGTGCCCAGCATGGATGCAGCCCCTTGTTTGGCCCCCATCAGCAGCCGCATGGTAACAAACCTGAAGTAGGTTGAGAAGCTGCGGATGCTGGCTGTGTGCCTCGTGGCCATGGCACCGTGTTTGTTTTCTCTGAGTTTTTCCCTCCCATTCTGGGGCTGGAGTGCAGACCATAATTACTGAGCAGATTTGTGTGCACTGTCAGGGTGCAAAGGCTGGCTTTACACCCTCACTAGCAGCTTTTGTGGCACCCAGAAATCCCCTGATATAAAATCCTGGAGCAGAATTTGCCTAATGAATCCATTTTCGGCCCCACAGCTCTTCAGGACTCAGGAGTTTGCAATCGAAGTCTGTCTGAATGCATGTAGTAGCTGAATACCCAGCTGCAGCAGGGCCCAAGCACTAGTTTGTGTGGGTAGGAGGCACCTCTCCTTTGCCCAGCTGCAAATTCAGGCTGAGCTCCCACTTCAGCCTGACCCAATGTCCCCTCCTAGGGCACGAGCACATTGTGCTGCTCAGAGAATTTTTAGCTCCGCCAAGGACCCTGAACTGGTGCATACCTGAGGGCTGCTCACCCCTCATCCTTGCCTGTGTCTGATGCAGCCCTGCCTCACTGCCACGTCCCCACATCTGCTGGACTGAGCCATGGAAGCCCCAGATCTGCTGGATGTGCAGCCCTCAATGAACAACAAACCCCACCAGCTTCTCCTGCTGCTGGAAGGAGGAGATCCAGGCTGCACCCAGCCCTGTCATCTTCTTGCTTGTCCACCTCCAGGTGAGTCCCTAGTTGTGTCTTGCTATCTGTTCCTTGTTACTGTCCTGCAGTTACAGCTTGGCTGTTCCCTTGTCCCTGTACAAGTCTGGGCTCTGGGGAGCCTCAGAGAGAGCATGAGGTGCTCCACACCATGCTACCTCCTGCAGCCATTTTCCAAAGCTGCTCCTCCACAAGCCAGCTTCATCCCCCTGATAAGGGGGAAGAGCTGGTGGGGACCAGTGTTAGGACCTGGGGAAGGGGATACAGAGAAAGGATGTGGTCTGATGGTGCAGATGGGTGCTAAAATGCCCCAGGAGGTGCTGGGGGAAGGTGTAGA